ATTCCCATTAAATGCATATAATAAATCAAACACGTAATTTATATTTCAAATATTGATCACTGAAAAATTTACTAAATAACAATTTTCTTTTTAACAATTGGTGTTATTAGAATAATTATCTTCACATATTTTCTTAAATTTTTATTATTAAAACGTGCATGATTATTATTAAGTAAGAGTTTTAGGATTTTTAAAATTAATAAAAAGTTTAAAAAATAGCATTTATTGTTTTAAACAACAAACTAAAATTGTTTTTGAATTTCCTATAGGGCTTAGACCCTGATAGATGGTGGTAAATGAAAATAAAATTTCTTTTTTGAACAAAGAATTAAGAGAGCGTCGTACCATTAATTTTCAGTGGTAAAACATGTTTACGCAGACTGTGTAAAATTCACTAAATTATGGTTTTAAATTTAATATTTTGAAAAGTTACAGTCATTTATAAATGTTGAAATAGTTATTATTTCTAAACAATGTATTGAGCGATATATTTGAAATAATGAAAAAAACGCATAGCAGGTTCCCTCTGAAATATTGTCCTCTTTTCATTTTATAATAGGTGCTTTTACTCTAAAATCATAATTAAGCGAATTGTACTCAGTCTGCGGAAACATATTTAAATAAAAAACAAATTTTTAAATCGCTTTCAAGGATGCTGTGATAGTTCAAAAACTAATTTTCTACCATAAAAGAGTCCTAATTAATGAAATAATTATTACACATTATAGTTTAACCTTTAAATTAAGATTTTGCAAAAAATTGCCTATACCCAACTCCTTAAAAATAGGGGGTTCAACGTTCTCTTAAGCTAAAAAATAAGTAGATTAAAAAAGGATGTCATTTTTTTTTTAAGAATAATCATCTTTCTATTAAGTAATTGATATTTTTGTCCTAAATCCATCATAAAATAAATTAAAATACAGTATGTGTTACCACGTTTAGGTTATAAAAATAATTAAAAACTTCGCCAATAAGCTTGTGATGGTGTGATAAAATAATTACCAATAAAGAATAATAATTATTTGTTTAGCTTAAAATTAATATTTTGCAATCAAAATTGGGGGGGGGGGGGCAGAACGTCCTCCTTTAGTTTATTATTCATTTATATAAATAATGTCTGTTTGGGATCTTAGTAAAATCTTATTTTTTATTTAGTTTTTATTTATTTCTACTTGAAAAATATTTTACTTATTAAATAAATCTACATGGTAAACAATGTACTTAAAAAAAATATTTTGAGCTAAAAAAAGTTTTACACTATCTAACAAGATTTTAAAAATCAATAAACCACTACATAAATTTGTTGTTCGTCATTACTTATTAAGTATTAAACTATAAAATACTAATTATAAAATATATATACTTTTTTGGAAAAAATTTAAAAAAAAATCATAATACCACTTTCTTGTAGTAAGTAGTAACAAGTAATTGATTGGTAGTATCTAATATTGTTTGAAACAGATAATGAACCTGGAGTGTTTAAAACTAACCATTCACTTGAAGATTGCTTGGATGGTACACTTTCTGTAGTTAGTGAGTATGCTTAAAGCAATTAACTTTAATTTGGTTGACTGACACCGTTCTTGGTTTTGTTTTTGTTGACTGAATTTTTCTCTCTAAATTGCTGTTCTCACATTGAACCTGCTGTCTATGTGTGTATGTGTACAAATAATCAGATACAACCGAAAGTTACGCAGGTGTTCTCCGGGGAGATCACTCACCCATCCAGTCAGGTATTGTCATAAATAACAAGGGTGAATCTATCTAATGGCGCATCTAAATTTTAATACTATATCATCAACATTATAATTACAGTTAACACGTACTTTTAACAATGAAATAGCAAGGACCTAGTATGATTATTTGTTTTGACATTTTATCTTTATTTTCAGAAATTGACAATAAACATATTGACAGTTTAACAGAAGCAACTGATGAAGATCGTTTCAAATTGAATGATGATTCTGAATTTCCTCCAGTTTGAAATGTAACAATCTACTTCTGACTTCGGTTTTAAATTTTGGCATGTATTCTTCTTTGTGTCATGACACATAATTTTTTCTCATTTGCCTTTTTACAATCATTGTGACATATTTTATGAGGTGAAAATAAGATTTACAAAAGTATTTTAAATAATTATTTTCAATAAGATTAAATACTTGCTTAAATTAATGTTAAAGATGTGTACAATGCTATGTTATTATCATTAATTATAGTGTAAGCATGTTCTATGTAGTTTGATGTTTTTATTTTTGGTTTAGCAATGTAAATGATTAAAATATATTATTATTATCACGTTAAATAAATGCTGTTTTTGATTCAAAATGTTTATAAGGTAATATTTTATTTGTACATGAAACAATTTATAAAAATCTCCCAATTAAAAAATAAAATGTATTTCGTTTAATATAACAGTATAATTTTATCCAGATAAGATCTGAAACTAAAATTGTAGGTAAAAATAATTATTGCGCCTTAAAATAAATAAAAATTGCTTATTATCATTTATGCTATGTAAAGAATATAAAGAAGAATCGACCAAAATTGTTAATTTATTTGGTATTGAAAGAAAAGTACCTAAAATAATTTATTTATTAAAAATCGGCGAATCTAAAAATTGTAACATGTACTTTTTATTTAACTAAAACAGATTAATATTTCACAATAAATGGTCGTACCTGCTAAGTATTTTTCTTGTTCAATACATTTTTTTCGTATAAATCTAATTGACAACACTGTGATAAGTATTGAATAGCCCCTTCAATTGTAACCACTAATCAATAATTAAATTTCAATTCAAAAAGTTACACTAGGTTACAGTATTTTAGCCTGATAAATATAATAATAATTCGATCTAAACGACCGACTCCCCCCATATGTGTACTCTTCACGTTGAGGAGTCTACTTGCGATCTTCCTCATATACTTTTTAATTGTCCCTTTTTGTCCCCTGAACGCGATAGCTTAGCTAATTTCTTTAGATCCTTAGACATTCCTTTAAATAACCATTCTATGCTCAATTCTAATTCCGAACCTCCCATCCTACACATTATTTCATTTATTATCGAGGCTGGTTTTTCTATTTAATGCATTTTGTTAAGTTTTGTTTTAATTTTGTATATATCTATTAGTCATTATTTTAGTCTTTTAATCACTCTTTTACTGTTTAATTTTATGTAATTGTCGAGATATATTGTATATATGCAGAATCTCAATAAAAAAAAAATATATATAATAATATATGGCCCAATAAATTTTATTGATGAGGTTATATTTTACAAATTACAGTCGTTGTTATGACTTTATGAATGAAAAGTTATACATTAGTATTTAGTGGGTAGAAAAAAATTAGATAGAAAAGATATAATAGTTAACGTCTATAATAGACGGGAAAAAATAGTTCTAACATTTAAAAAATATTGTTAATTTTTTATAACCATAATGACTACTCCTACAATGATTATTTTAATAATAATGTAAATAAATTTCAGTTAACATCTACCATTGACAATTGGTTAACTATTATTATGATTAAGGGGGCATGATAAGAGCCTGTACGCGGCCCTGCATAGCGATATAATCCAGACTAGGAAATATCGTGAACGAATCTTACCACCATCGAGCGAATAAAGATGGACACGATAAGAAAAAGAAGAATTATGATAAAGCAAAAATGCTATTTGTTTTCTAAATCCACATTAACTTATTTTCCTATGCTAACTATCTGCAACAGTTCACTCTCTTTTTACGCTACTAATTATCTATTCTGTACGCCCATGCTTGCCGTGGTGTACGGTGTAAATATAATATTTTACACGGAAATATAATAATTTTCTTTTTTTTCACCAATCGTCATCGATTAGTGGGTGTAGTAATGATTATTGTTATGAACTTACATTAAGTAACAGTAATTTTATTTTATTTTTGTTTGTGAATGACAACTTAGTTGAAGATGATTTGTACGTTATAATAATTAATAAACCAACAAAAGTGCTAATTGTTAGGGTCTTGGTATTCTTTAAAACTAGTTGTGAGTAGAATAAACGAAGTAATTACCTCGAAGTTGATATTTTTAAAATAAACTACTAATGAAGAGTCATTGAAAATTCTAGCGCTCGTTAAACTTTCTCGAAATTTTCCATATTCTAATTTGATGTAGTCATCAATAGCTAGTCGCTACTTTCAACTAACGTTTTCAAGTGCGACATCGAGTTCTCCACGTACCTACTCGTTGTTTAAATGTTTAGCATAAGATAATCTGCAGTGATACAAGCATTTGGCGTACAAATTGTTTAACATTTTGGTTATATTCTCGATAATTACGACGTTCTTAATCGACGCTTTATGAAGTATACAAAAGGTTTTTTGGATATTTCTAGAATTTCTTTAAAAATGACTGAGTCATCTTGCAAGTTTGTGAATTTCAAGAACTTATACTAAGCTCAATCGCCATTTTTGTGTTGACGCGAACCAAAATTAAAGAGGAGTGTGCAGCGTACTTTTTTGTTTAGTATTTTAAGCGTCACAATAGCAGTACTTGTTTTTGTGCAACGGTTAATTTTTTTATTTATATGGTTTCATACTCTTATAATATCATACACCTAAATTTGAGCCGCAACACATTTTACACTAAACGAATCGGGAATATTTTTAAATAAATAGGTTAGAAGAATTTTCAGACACGCTCAGATATTGTTTTTTTTTTGTCCATTTTCGTATCTTTGATATACCCTATACACTTCTCACGTATAATATTATTAAGTAACCTAGCTGTAATCATTCATATTAAATACTGTAGTAATGATTTAATCAATGCTGTAATACTTCAGTAATAATATATATACATTGATTGTTTAGATATCTTATATCTTACTCAATGCGCACCACTTAGGTTGATAGTTGGTATCATCTTACAATAATGTGCAGCGCAATTGATAATGAAAAGAAATAAAAACAATTTTTTATTGATTTTAAGATATAATAGGCGTAACAAGTAAACTGTTAACGGAAAAATAAACAAAATACATTTAATTTTGTACAATTGTATTATTGTTTTTCGTCTTTTTTTAATGAAAAATCAATTATTATAAAATACCAATACAAAATAAAAATAACTATGCATTTCTAGTGAAATTAGGGGAAAAAAATATGAAAAGTTGGAAAATGCCTTAACTGGTGGGTAGATGTCGTAAGTTTTAGGTTATCCATACTTGTTTATAATATATATATATATGTTTTATGATCTATATAAAATAACAAAAGTAGTTTCTTTATACAATATTATCCGATTTTTTTCTTCTTCATAATTTAAACAAACAACACATAAAAAAAAAATATATATATAAAGACATTTATTTTTTCTTTAATTTTGTGCATGAGATACGAGTTAATAATATCACTAATTAATATCTCTGGGCAGTCGACATATGTCGCAAGACTGCCGTTCAGAATTGTTGAGAAAAGTGCAGTGGGCGCAAGTCCACGTTTCCGTTTGGGCAGATGCGAAACCGTTGCCCATATGACCGGATACAGCGGCATCGGCCGAGTTGCTTATCAGCTGTTCCAGCGTTGCCCATACATCAGACTTTGACCATTCATTCATTGCTAGCATGTCTTTAGTTTTCAATGCTTCCAGCAGTGGTGCCATGGAGTCCTAAAAAAATGGTGCTATTTTAAAATTACCTAGTATTAATTGTTGACTTCTTACCTTCATAGGTAGCATTTCCATAGTAGCTATGTACAAAAGCAGGTGGAAATCCGCGACGGCCTCTCCAAATTGTAAGGGAGTAAACTGCCTCAGATATCTGGCTAACGCATCGAAGTCCTGAATGTGTCCGTCGATTAATCGGTTTTCAACAGGAAACTTTTGGATGTCCGGCAGTGACATAAATGTGTTTAATGGTGTGAGCGGCGTGGAGGCGGGTACGTCTAATAATAAGTACTCCACTGGCAGTGGACGGGCTAACTTGGATACTTCATTACCGTAATTGTCTTTTTCCTATAATCAAATTAAGAAAAACATTCATTATCAATTATATACTTATTATCTATTAATTAGAAATTAATTCGAAATGCCTATTATATTAAAACAATCTTTTGGATATATTGTGTAACTATAATTGTATAAGACAAAAATGACCTGTACAGTGTTAAGAAGTGGTTTCTTGATTAGATTAAGCCCTATTATTTCCCTTAATAGATATCATGCTACTTCAAGCGCGCTTTTCTCAATTTTCAACAACTCAGTAGTCAACACCTTGAAGAAGCTAGGATAAAAACGTTTGTCTAATTTTTCGTTTTCGTCAATTCTATTTGGTGTAAACGTTTACACTAAATAAAATAATTTCTTTATAAAATATTTATTTATGTGGCATATAATTAAATAGTCATATAGTAGACACACGTTATGTTTGCAGTGTTTTTTATAATTATTCATACATAATCACATTAAAAACACTCATTAATTATATCATACATATTATACAATACATAATAATATTATTAACATGTCAATCAGATTCGTAGTTATTTTTGTCTTTAGCTAAGCATTAATCTATGTCTACTGTCTATACTCTACAGACTACTATAATAATGTAATTTACTATTTTTTTAAATCACGCGAAAACAGAATAAACGAATAAATAATGTCAAATTTAACATTTTCAAAACAAAGAATGATGTAGTTATTGAAAACACTAGCACTCATCAAACTGTCTTGAAATCGAAGATTTTCTAAAATAAGGCAGTGTTGCACAGTTAATTTATCGTGGTTATTGGCAATCGTTTTCATTCTGGATAATAAGTCATTCACATACTTTGCGTCCAAGGGTTTGGCTAGCGACAGTTTACAGTGGTGCAATTCAGCTGAGAGTTCGTTCAACTTCATGACTATTTTATCGATGACTTGTTCGTTTCTAGTAATTGTATAGAAATTCATAAAAGGACTTTTAAAGAGCTTTATTAGTTCTAAAAAAAAAGGGTCGTCGTGCAATTTCAAGAACTTGATGAACCTGGTCAGTTCGATGGCCATTTTCGCATTGACACGCATCAAAAACTTAGACGGGCAAGTTCCGTTTGTCGTTTCTCGGCGTGTGAACATGTCGCGTAAATGGCAATTGTCTAGAGACGGGAGCATCTCGTTGACATAGTGCAAGTGCTTCATAATTATCTGGAGTATAATAATTTTCAACAAACTAACGAATTGACTCTGTAGTCGCCCAAGACCGGAAAATTGTAATTCGATGTGTTCATTTTGCTTCGTCATAATGTATGATTCCAGCATGTAGTTTTACGTCAAATCCCATTCAATCAACTCCCCAAAGTCGTGCAGTAATAGTTCCATTACCTCACTCCGGTACAATACATTATTCAAGCTGAGGCTTTTGAATGAGAAATATACGTTGCCCCTTTGTGAGTTGATCAAATTATTGTTGGACGCAATCTGACTGGTCATGCTGTCTTTGAATGTCTTCAGGACAGCTGATCTCACATTCATAGACTTTTTAAACTCGTCAGCCATTATAGTCAAGTCATAGTTACTCTTAGTTCCTTTTAGTTGGTCGTTAAATTTGTTATTCGGAGTACAACCGTCGGTTTCAATATATATTCCAAAAGGCCTGCGTCGATAGCGTTGCAAGTGGACGACGCGACTATTTTGTTGTGTTCTATGGCACCATTTATAATCATTTCGAAGTATTTTGTGTACCTGTATAACCACCATATCGGACGCAAAGACCAAATCTGTCCGCAATTTCGCATGGACGTTAACATCGACATGACCTGGTCGGCAAAGAAACAGTCTGTGGATTCCTTTATTTTCCTGAGTATTATCTGGTCTCCTATTTCGAGCAAAATACCGAGACATCCGAACGTAATGCAAACCACTAAACGTGTAACTGCACTTGAGATCATTGATAATCTTAAGATTTAGCATTTCCACTTCCGCAGACTAAGAATATACTCGTGTAATGAGATCTACATAATTCGGATCATATACGTAGCCCGTATCCAAACGTATTAGATTGATGTACTTCATCAAAGAACCAATAGCGCCATAGCTTTTATTGGTCCACAGGCAAACAAAAATCGTTAACGCCAAACAATGTTGCAATGATAACATTTATTTAATTTTTTAGTTTTAACTAGATAAGTAATAAATAATAATAATACCGATTACGGACGATCGATTGATGATATACTTTCTTCAGTTATATCGCATAAACACATAAACATGCAATGCGCAGAACAACTAGAACGCCGCTATGATTTATTACTATGTTATTTAAACTATTCATTGCATATAAATCGTTTAAACGCTAAGCCACTACTAACTCCAGAAAAGTTTCAAATATCGATTAGTAGGTTCATTTTACATTTAAACTCAGAACCCTGCGACGAGTGACTATTTATTTAGGGGCACAATATAGGTAAATGTGCCAATAATTTATTTTGAATAAACAATGCATGTGACGTAAACTGTACACAAACTGCGGAACAGACGTTGTTCGCCTATTCAAAAAAATAAGCTCCGCTTATTTTGAACAAGGGGGAGGGGATAAGAAATTAATATTAAGGGGCCTCTACACTTGCGTATTTTTGGTAGAAAACAACTTATTCTAATTCACACGTACTGTTCCTAAGAATACTCCGATTTAAAGTTTGAAAACATATTTGAGTTCTTCAAAACATTTTCAAGGTATCGGCACTAGGCACAATTTTAAAATTATTTTCAGTTAATTTATTTCAGTTGAAAAAAGTTAAAAAAAAAATTATATTAAAATAGATAATTAATGGAAAATAATTTTAAAATTGTGCCACGACTGATGCCTTGAAAATGTTGTGAAGAATTCAAATGTTTTTTTAAAAAATTAAATCGATGTATTCTTAAGGTCAGTACGTTTGAAGTAGAAACATGTGTTTTTGTACAAAAATAAATCCTATATGAGCTATATAAGTAAGAAAAAAAAATTATCATTTCAAATATTCATTTAAAATATATATTTCTTTCCTATGGTAATATGTATGTTTAAAAATTTTAGCTTAATGTCCTATACAATGTGCCTTAATAAATCCTAGTGTAGAGGCCCCTAAGTCGAAACCATATGTACGCAAAAGCGCTTAAGTGTGTTTAGACCAATTGATACATTTTAAAACCAATAATTGTAATATTGATAAATACATAATGATATCAATAATCAATAATATACCAGAATATAATACTAACAAATTGGTAGCATTAAAAAGTTGTATTGAAAAAGTTGTTATAAGCCATCAAAACACGGTTATAGCAAATACTAATTTTAAAATAATGGTATAATGGCTTTTACGTTAGTGCATTTTACTTATATTTAAAATTGAAATAGACCGTGATGTCACCTTGCAAGCGTTTTTTATAAATATATTTTCTGTAATTTGGTGTGTTATCCGATTTTTATTTTATAAAAATAAAATACTATAAAAAAATTTCTACTAGCCAGTGATCGCTAAATCCTGCTTATGGTATAACATTTATGGAGGTAAAAGAGAAGTTCCCCAAATTGTTGATTATAACCATAGTTGTCAATAAACAAAATATAAAACCTTCATAAAAAGACTACGATAATAGAAAATACCCTGTAAGTAATGTTTCTCAAATAAACCCGTCACACGGTATATTGTGCGAGTTCCCTACTAGTTTACCCTATTAAGTTTTTACAAAGAAGGTACACCTAATTTCCTAGTAGGGCCACATCGTGCACATTTTCTAAATAAGGTCGTTGACTATTTTCTATTTAAATCGATAACAATATTATACTTTATATTATTTTTCGTTCTCCTATCGGGGCTGCTGTTTAGCGACAAAGACATTTTTTGTATTCCGAAAATTGACAACAATATACGTATTATATTATACTCATAATATGAAAAACAACATTAAAAAATCGAGTTTTAGAGATACATACATCCGGTCAATTTTGTTTTTGTTCACCTTACCTCGAGCACGCAAGCCAAAAGACAACCATTATAAGTTATACCAATTTAACCTGCGACTAAAATACCGATATGTCGAAATCTAGTAGTAGTTGTATACTCGTACCTGCACTATAAAACATTGGACATTAACCATGTTTATATGCATTTGATAATGCGCATAAGATTAAGAGAAAATGAACTATTTAATTTTCTCCAATTATTTAAATAAATCTAACTTCGGGATTGAATACAATCCCAAATGCTAAAGCATGGGTGCGCGCGAATAAAGGGTTAAGTCACTATTTCGTGAAGCATGAAATATTTACACAAAAAAGTGCAGGAAAACTATTTAAGTCTCACTTCTTTTAAGTAAGCGTAATTACAATATGCTTTTTGGGTAAACCTATGTTACCCCAATTAAATGTAATTTGAGATAAGTCATGAGAGAACACCTAATTGTTGATTACAATAATATATTCATACTTATTAGTTAATATTATTGTAAATGTTTATTATTGACCGGGAGTAGGTTTTAACACTTTTAAGGCCTATAATATTATATAGTTCAAGAAGATAAATGATAGTTGCCTGTCCAGAGATAGAGACCGCCTTACCCACACAGCCACTCGTCTTCGAAATACTCGTACTCGATGCTTGCTAAAAAATAGTTCATTGTGTCTTACTGAAAAAATTAATATTCTTATTTGCAATATTGAAATTGTATTTGAAATTTGAAAATTGTGCTGTCCTGAAAAATTTGATTTTAATGACAAACCACTTTTTTTGGCGCACTCGCATATATACGTGGTAGTTGGTACTAGTGGTCGTGGGCAAATCGTTTCCTCCAGGAAGAAGCGATAAAGAATAGCGTGTTGCGGCACGATGATGATACCTACTATATTTTGAAAACGACAAAAGGGTACATAATAATATACGCACGATGCGTATACGTGCCGAACATAAACAAATCGCTCGGTGGGGCAACGTTACCTTCCAAGGTCAGCGTAATAGCAGAGAGGGAAACAAGCTACCCCACCTGGATCGACTACAGCATAATACAAATATTCTGGACCCGCCTAAATCGCGGTTGGATTGAGCGCGCTGCCCGTTGTCGGCTGCGGGTGGTTTTGCGAGCGGTTTTAGGGTTGGGCTGGAATGAGGTTCGAGGTTAGTTATTGCGGCGGCGCGCCCGAGCGAGCTGGATTGCCGGAAAAGCCAAGTCACAGCTGTACGACGCAGCGCGTGCGTGGAATTCTGTATATACATAATATAATAAATGTGTGGCAGTTGGCGAGAGATCTACAGACTACAACGTACGAATGGCAGCCAGTAAGCCAAGGGTCGATTAAACGAAAGTGGAGTGGTGATACGGTACACGTCTGACCGTGAATCGCATAAGGCCGCGACTGTGACACCGCTACACACGCAGCCATAAACCACGACGCGAATTACCGTGCACGGCAGCTTTTTTATTAGTTTCAAAAAATATTGTTCTATTATATTGATGACAATATTTTTAATAATTATTGTATTCGCGAAATTAATGCAAGTAAACACATGCAATGAGTAATCGTATAATCTTATCTCACCCAATTTGTTCATATGATTAATGATTAATGACCAAGTACCCAAAACGAACGAACCCCGTAATAATATTTTAGCAAGCTAGTATTTATAAAAATGGGTGGTTCAATAGGCTCCGGACACTGATAAAAACACAGGAAAGATACTTATCATACAATAACGAAGCTAATATGTTCCAAACCGGCTATAACCATAATAAATTATATCTAATCATTATTAATTTTAGTTGTATATAGATATAATTTATTATGATTATAGCAAGTTAGAACATGGCCGCCATGTTTTTGTTTACATTAAAGTGACTTCTGCTTTCATCTATTCTATGGTTGACCGTTGAATTATATATATACATCATGATAATAGTATTCCATCGGTAAATACAATAATCAAAAGTATATGGGTAATTGCGGGATATTCCAATTTATTTCGATGTTCTTAAAAATACTTAAAATTTAAAAACACGATAAGGAATCGAATATTGATATTATAGTATAGTTTGACGTTCATTAATTTCCTAGTTTATAGCAATCAATCGCATAAAATGAAATTATTGTTGTAAGAAAAAAAAATTGTATACAAATTTAGCAACGAATAAAAACTAATTGAAAATTAGGAAAATTTAATTTAATTTTAGGAATGAGAATGTAAACAAAAGTAACTAAAGTGAAAAAGACATGATAGGTGTAATGAAGAGGAGGAATAACTATGTACATGATAATTTGGAAATTGCGCCAATAGAATGAAAATATGCAGATAATTATTTGACAAATAAATTTGAATATCTAAACTTAATAGGTCGTATAAAAAAGGTAGAGAATTAGTAGTATAGGTACGGTGACCAGATATAAAAATTTAAAATACTTTTTAGAGTCGCCATAAGTATAAAAATCTCACACTAGCGGAAAACAGGCTAAAGGTTACAGAATAATGGTGAAAATTTATGTTGATACATAGGTTTGATCGGTTAGGAATTTTCCATTATCGGCATTCGGTACATTGTTATCGTTCTGTTCTTATTCTAGAATAAGCCACACAGTCTATTTATAAAGGTAAATAAAGTATAGGAAACTTTTCTAAAATCACGACTTCAACTTTATGCTCTCATCTTAGCATTATCCTATACAAATGGGTTTGGTCAGTCAAATGAGCTCCATTTGACCAGCTTTCATTTACTCCACGTACATACCTTTATTATCCCATCCACTCACTCTTTTGGTCTACTACTACTTATACATTTCTTTACCGTGGTCTTACTAACTTATGTTACTGTCTTACAATATGCCTTAAATCCAAAGTGATCAGACAATCTCAATTTGTTTTCCCTAATATTTCCTATCGTTGGCGCAACCTCCAAACTAACCTATTTTTGTGTGTAAATCCCTATGACCTATAATGCGTTTTACTCAGAACTCAGGTCATGATGGTTTTAGAGCAAAAACACCTATAATGAAAATTAAAGAAAATTACATTCTAGAATAATTATGAACTTATCACCATATATCTACCCGTCATAGACTGAGTAAAAGCATTCTGCGTAGCTATATTTCAATTATTTTTATAACTATTATAGAAAAATAGTTAAAAACTCGCCAATAAGAAATCGTCATCACTACCTATACTAATAAGTAATAAACATAAATAATTTGTTTAGGTTCACATATTCGAAAAAAAATTCCTATATATTACTCCTTAATAAATAGAGGGTATAACCGTCCGCTGAAGATAGGACTGCATCTAATATGAGGTTGTCGAAAAACTTTACCAACATGGACCATCTTACATATAGTATGTATATAAGTCTCGACAATTAATATTTTATAAACACAAGAATTGAAATATGTTAAAATGGATCGAAAGTATACAGATCATACAAATGCTAGTACTACAAATAAATACTGACGATTTTGACCGGTATACGCATCAACAACAGAAGTTATAACACTTAAATTTTCGTTTAAGGACACTGGTCAGTATAATAATTAACGGCTTTTAATAAGGGCTGCCGGTTAGGGCGGACACGGCGGTTGGAGACGGAGAGAGGGCCGTCGCTAGTTACTCGTTTGTAATGGTGTAATGATAATATCGTTACGGTAGACCGTGCTGTGGTCATGCACTGATATGGGGACGGGGCGGAGACGGGTGAAAAACAACAACAAACGACGATGAAAAAAAAAACTCGGCAGCCGCCGCCGCAGCAAGTGCCAGAACTGCGTACTTCCGAAAAACCCGCGCACGGAACACGGCGGCGGCACTACCTAACCGCCAACCGGGCCGGGCTCACACTTCACAGCAACGGCGGCGGCAGGCGGCAGCGCAGTCAGTCGCGCACACGAATTGACGCGATCGACATGCAACACGGTGATCGTTGTCGTCGGTTTAGTTATTATTGTTGTTGTCGTCGTCGACGTCGGCTTTATCATTATTATTATTGTTTCCCGAACGTCACCGCCTTGTCGCGTGTGTGCACAGCGAAAAACATGGGCGCACGCCGCGATATCGATGCCGTTGTGGTGCCAAATAAATAACTACGTTACAATATTATACAAATACATTGAATCGAACACGTTGTAATATAAAATATTGTATGTGTTGTTTTTTTCGTACCGATCTCAATAATAATATAATATATTATTTTCAATAAACGCGCGTTATCATAGTATACACGTCGTCTGCTCGTCCGTCGTATGCCGCCGGTCGTGTTTACCCGCCGCCATTGATAACCGTGTTTCGTTTGTTATTATTGTTGTTGTTTTCGTCGTCTGTGCCGGGTGTCGAACGCGCGCTTTCGCCGGACACTTATCACCGCCGTTACCGTTGTGTATATGTGATACACGCATTCGTCGGACCCGATCGTCCGCCCGCCTTCGTGTGCGTTTACATTGCGTTGAACTGTAAGTCACACGAAATAATAATAATAATAATACTCATATTATATTATTATACAACGATGATAGTATGTTTAATTACCAGTCGCCTCAACTACACTTATCGTCGTCTTTCCTTATCGGTATCGGTTGAAACGTAATAGCACAGGTTAGATATCTAATCTGTGGTAATAGCCACAACTTACAAGAGATGTGCTGTACAGCTAACGTAGGAATTTTTTTACCCCTGATATTGAACTTAAAATCTACCCTTGACCTGGCCAACGGACCATTATAGCCATAAGCCGACCGAAATGGTCGTTTCATTAAAAATCGAATAATTGTGTTCAAAGCCCCGATTGAACTGTTGTTGAAAATGTGATATAGGTTTTTTCGTAAATTTATAAATTACTTATAATTACAATTTATATCTGGTTTCAGTCATTCGCCACTATTATACAGATAAATACGTCAATTTTGATTATACATAATTTTATTATTATTAACATACAATAAACTACTTGTAAATATTAAATAAAATAGATGCTGACGTCTTCATACATTTTTTTACTTGTCATGCTTTCAATTAGCAAATAATATTAGTACGAAATAGTATACATATAATTTTACCTTATTTAATTAATCATAGTCAGCTTTATATAAAGTTCTGTCAAGTTTAGAAATGATATATAAGATAAAATAGCTAGGTATTCTTGAATTCTAAAAAACTTAACTGAAAAGTTTTTCTTTTTGAAATGTTACAAAACTTGATTTTGTTAATTCAAGTAGTATGAAATATATAAACCAAATTACAAATTATATTAATAATCAAATATTAAGCTGTTATCATTTAGAAATTATCTTTATTGCAACTTTTGAATATTTTTTTTGCTGATTCAAGACTCACTACAAAAACATGTTAATTAATCCTAATTTTCTTATAACTTAGTAATCTGTTTTAACAAAAAACGTTAAAATGGTTTTATACTACCACTACTACTACTAACTATCTATTCAAAATAATTTAATAATTTTCATTTTATTTCCATTTAGATGATGGATACAAAAAAAGATTTTGAATTTGAAGAACTGATCATATGTGGCTGTTGTAAGCAAAAATTCAATGACAATGAATTTGTGCCAAAAGAACTGAGTTGTAAACATTGTTTCTGTTTGCAATGTATCAAAACTACTATGCTTAAAGGTTTGGAAGTCTATTGCATCAACTGTTGGAAGCGTACTGAACTTGACGAGCAGTCTCCCGAAACACTGAGAACACAGAACTCTGTTCTCAGTCTTATAAGGCACTTAGCTCATGTTAAAATCAATAAAACAACAGACAAAGAACGAAAGGTGACCTAATATATTTGTTTGTAATAGTAATATTTTTATTTACTTATTTATGTTATTAACTTTATTTAGGGAGAGAATTGCCACACTCATGGAATGCCATTTTCATTTTGGTGTTACAATTGTCAACAATTATTGTGTCGTGCTTGTGGGACCCAAACTGAACATATTGGGCATACAATAAAATCCAGTAATGATGCTCGTGACCAATTAATTAGTGAGGTATATAAAAACATAAATTTTTATCGATATGTATTTTTAAATATTTATGGTTTTGTTATAGGTTCAAGTAGAAACAATTGCTATAGCTAAATTGATGAGTGAAATACAAAATTTATTTGGACATAAACGACAATTTCTTCTGAGAGTATTGGACGCTTGTAACACTTTAAAAACACAAATTGAATTAGAATTAAATATTGGTTGGACACAAAATACTAATGATTTACTACAAACTAATGAAGCACTTAACAGTATTAAGCCAACTAATCTACGTACTGATGATTTGTATGAACTACAACTTTACTTAAACCGTCTGGAACAAGTCAAACAGCAAGTTCAAAATAAATACACTGAACAGTTTGCTCATGGTCAACTAGAAGATATAATATCATCGACTAACTTACTAGATTTTAGCATGATAAAACAATCTCTGTCATCTCTGCAAAGTGTTGGTACAGAATCATACAAATCTTCAGAGTTGGGAAATCAGAACGCTCATATCTTTTTTTTGGCTAATTATTGTATGGCACAATTGTTTACGCGCTACGTACTTCCTAAACATGTACCACAAGTAAATGGCCAAGAATACTCAAAAAATTCTCCAGGCAATTCATTGACTCAATACCCAACGCCTCTATCGTCAATATCGGCAAATGAACCCGCATTAATTACATCTCAGAATAGCCCTCCTCAGGCAATATTAAACAACAGTGTTCCTTCCTTGCGAAATCTACATTCTTTTCCATTGTTTTATTTTAATGTAGAAGTCAATGGAACAGCATTTGGTCGTTTAGTTATTGAAACTCGTCCTGATGTTGCACCAAAAATGTCAAAAAATTTCGAAGTATTGACAATGGGAGACACTAACGGGTGTTCCTATAAAGGCTGTTCAATATTTCAATGCTGGGAAGGTGAATCTGTGATCACTGGTGATTTTGAATTGAATAATGGACGTGGAGGGAAATCAATCTATGAAGAGAATTACTTTATGCCAGATGACACTAAATTTCCAGCAGTCCGAGGAGCGGTTGGAATGCGCCGCACTCAAAAACGACATGACAATATGGGAATGGTGGGATCACAGTTTCGTATTATACTACAAGAAATGAGAGGTTTTACAGCGATTTTCGGTCATGTCGTTGAAGGCATTGATCTTGTTGAGAAAATGGCCTCATTTGGCGATCAAACTGGGAAACCGTCCAAGACATTTGTCATATCCAGTTGTGGTAAAGTGTAACTACCATATAATATTTTTTATTTAAATATACATAATTTAATCGATCCGAGTAGTTTATAGTAATGAGTGAACGTCATTATATTTTTGTAAAACGTTAATATGCGTATCGAAATATTTATATTGAATTCCTATCTTATTGGTATACATTTTGTATAAATTTATTATATATTTATATAATATATTATATAAAATAAAAAGTGATTATTATGATACACGATTGTAAGTATCACGGCATTAAATCAACTAAATTAAAGTAACTATAAACGCTATTTAGTAAAATATACAATTTTCGATATATACATGCGATTTATGTGTATACTAAATGAATATCATACTCTATAAACAGTATTGTTTGGAAGCTTGGCAAAAAGTTATTTTTTATCTTATCAGTTGTTCTTTTTTTTTTAGTTGTTCAATAATTTATCAATTACATTACCATGTTTTGAAATTTTACTGTACATAAAATAGGTCAAGATTGACTTCACATTATTATTGTTAAGTTTAAAAAGAAAGAAAAAAATATTGTATTGCGACACTGATTTGTTAAGTAGAGTATGGAAACATTTATCCAATTAACTGACATTTTTTTCTTTTTATATAATTATATAATCGTAAATAATTACTGAGAATATAATATAAAAAATTTCAAAAAGAAATATATTTTTATAAGTACAGTGGTCTCGTGAGTTTTTTTTTTTTTATGTATGTTAATGTTAATAAAAATGATTAAACTTACCGTTAGAAAAAAATTTACATATTTTTGTTTATGAATTTTATTTACTGTGGAACAAGTTGTTTTTCCTTAACTGTCAATTTTAAATGAAAAATAAACAAAGGTATTCATGATGTTGAAAGTGTTGTTTGTATATGATATGAATTAGAGTGTAAAATGGTTAAATTTAATTTGTAATAACTCATAAACCATGATGTTTCCTTATTTTCTCATAATATTTTTCATAATATAAATTATATTTTACATAATAATAAATTAGTTTTGAAAAATGTATTAGGTTTGTGTTCTTACCTTATAGTAGACATCAGGAACATACTGTTTGTCAGAGGATTCTCGCACAAATCCTAATTCTGGTACATCTTTTGTAGGCACTAAACAGTTATCTTTTACTAATGCCATACATTGATTGGATACACTATATCCTTCCATGTGAACTTGACATTTTTCATCACCTGTTACGAAGGTTGTTTAATTATTATTATTGTTGTTAATGAGATAAGATATTACTAAAATATATTATTTAGACTTCAATTATCACTAAATTAGAATATGATTTAAAAGGCATATGATATTTTAGCAGAGTTGATAAGGTATTGTGATACAATTATGTGATTCTCTTTGTCTGGACTCGCAATATCTCTAAAACCACTGGACCAATTTCTTTATGTCGCAATTCTATCAGAATTTCGATCAGAAATTTTACTTTGAAAAGGCTATATAGTATACCCCTTTCCTACTACCAATTACCAAAGTCAAGAAAACATGCCAAAATTGTATACTTTTTTTAACTAAACATTTTTAAATACATTTTTGAAAAATAGTCTAATTAGTTCTTAATTTGTGTGGGATATTATTAATATGAAGATGATATTTAGAGACATCTATGAAAAGTTAAATAACTCATCGTTTTACATACCTGTAACACATACAGTGACAAACTTTGAACCAAAATACCCATTAGAAGCATACCGGCAAGGATTCGGATGTAAATTTTGGAAATATCCAGCCATTATACATTCTTGAGCAGAAAGAAAATGACTCTTTATATTTCTCACATGTTTTACCTGAAAATTTAGAACTATTAATAATACAACACACAATGGCACTTTAACACTTTAGATATCTTACAGTTCCTTTTTGCATATCTTCAGTAATAAGGTCTGTAAATATCCATCCAACACAAGCCAACCCTAGGCATCGAGCCATTTCATTGACTAACTCTTGTTTTTCATCTGACATTAATTTAACATGATCTCTAGAACTTTCCTAGAAATATAATATAATTAGGTACATACATTTATACACGCAACATTTTTATATTTGAAATAGCTTGAAAAGAACCAACTAGATACTTTTACTATGACAAAAAATCAGTTAATAATAGCTGTTGCTGATGAATAATATAAATGATAACATTGTCAATAAAAATATCTGACCAAGAACCGGCAGAAAGAGTTTTTTAATTTTGGATAAGTAAAATTTTGTGTGTACAGGGGCTGCAACGAGACCAAAAAATTTGTGCAGGTAAAACACGGCTACCTTGCGAATATATGACCGAAGTGTTCTAACTAAACTACAAAACACGATGCAGAGAATAACTGGTTTCAACAAGATGGCGCAACAGCAATCCTCAGGAAAATATTTCCTTGTGTGGTAATATCGGATGGCTGCCCAAAGCAATTTTTACCTCTGGGACTTTCTCAAAGACAAGACATACCAACATAGTCTAAAAGTTTTGAAGCTCTTAAGGAGGCAATAGACTAGAAAGTTACTGCTATTCTATCAGAAAGTTACTCAAAGTTATGAACAATTGCCAAGAGCGGCTTAAGTGAATCACCAACAGAGGCCACCACTTTTTTTCAAAACCAAATAATTTAAACTGCATTATTTATGCTTGTAATTAATACAATTTTTATGGATCAAATTTAGTTTAGTTTTTATTAGCATTCAAAATCGAGGAGCTCTTTCTGCCGGACACAGAATAAGTAAACTTGCTTGTTTTATAAGATTTTAACAATTTAAAAATAAATTAAAATTCATACTATATACTTGAAAATCAACATTTTTAACTATTTAAATATAGTTTTATTTTTAAAACCATAAAAAAATTTAACTCTCTCTCTCTTACATTGAGTGTATGTTATTCCCACCGATTGAGCCTTAAATTTGGCCCCAAATAGAGGTGCAGGTGGCCATTTCTCCTTTCAGACAGTTGCCCGCCCAGAGGCCGAGATTCGAATAGGCAATCGTGCATTGGTACACTGCCGCCTTATCTCTCTCTGCCACGGGCGGACAACTGTCTAGGGGAGAAAATGCCCATTTACGCCTCTCTCTGGGCCAATTTGTTTGGTAGTGTTATATCGGCAGCTAGTTATAAGCCCAAAAATGCCAAATCTAAATCGTCTAAGCTCCAATCAGTAACATAAAAGAGAGGTTTAAATATTTACATCACCATAAAAGAATATGGAGAAATTAGAGCTATTATTTGTTTTGGAATTATTCACACTACCATAAATTAATTAAATTATCTGTAAAACAGGTATACTTGAAAATTAGTATAAAATATTTAATATCATACATTTTTATAACACATTTTAGTTCTACTATTTATGGATTTAGAGTCTAAACAATAAATTCAAGACTAATTTAGTTCACCTTAACTCAAGATATCACAAAGTAATATTGACCATAAATAATTACTATTTACTTAACTTTCAAATATAAAAATCTACAAGGCATACTAAGAACATAATATATAAAAATAAAATTCAGTTTTTTAAATTATAATTTGCGAATAAAAGTTAGACTCCTGTACACTACAAAATAGATGTTATTTGTCTCCATTGAAAAAATATGTTTCTTAATAATTGTAGTGTGTTTGCACTAATGGATAAGATGTAAATATTAAAAAATAAGATTACGTGTTTAATTTTGTTACTAATTTGAGTTATACTTATTTTTTTTTCTAAAAATATGAAATAAATATTATTATCATGTAATTACTTGAGGAGGTTCATAAATTGCTGCAACTACAGCTCTTATACCAAGTGGAATATCTGGGTGTGATTCATAACGTCCATATAAAAATCCAATACGCTGATGTCCAGTTGTCCGCCAGTAATTCAAAAATCGTTCAACTATATCTGAGTTCTCAAACATTATATTGTCTACATGTCTATAACTCTACACAAAAATAATAATTACAAATTGTTAAAAAGAAAATTGTTAAAATCTTACTTGTCTATTCAGCGTGATGGCCGAAGGCTGACATTTTGAACATATACCTTTTGGCCAAGGTAAATGACCTGTACAACCATCTTTAATGCGACAACTTATATTTTCTAACAACAAGAATTTTCCTCTAAGAAAATATAAATATAATGTTAATATTTTTTTAAAAAAGAACATAGTATTGAAAAATTATTACTTCGCTACTCCTGCAGTCATTTTTCGGAGATAGGAATGAAAAGATAAATGTTTCATGTTTTGCGTTTTAAGGTACTCTTCATCATATGGTTCTAATGGTGAGCAATGAACACAACATCCATTATCTCCATGACGGCAACTACAAATTAAGTTTTATATTTTATAAACATAAGTAGGTAGACAAAAAAATGAGTAATTGTTTATGAATTTCATGTTATCTACTATTTTTTATCTTTTAGACGTTTAATTTTGCCATCCATCTTCCAAAGTTGTTTATCTATTTCATCTTCATCAACTTGGCTTGTTGATAATGAACTTTTGTTTCCAATTGACGGTAATGATGTACTAGACCCTGGAGTGGATACAGCTGAAGATGAACGACTTCCATTAGCTGTATCTGCTTTTGATGGTCCTGGGATGGCCCACACATTTTCAGAGTCTAATGGAGACAAATATACCTTATCACCATGTTTAAGGTTTAAACTATTCATGTAAACACTTCTAGAGGACTTGATTTCATTTTTTCGAGCCCGATCGTTAAACAATGTAAAATTATAATTGGTGAGAGAAAATGCATCGTGAACCTACAAACATAATAGATCACATTAATACTATAAAACAATTAAAATTCAAAAACGAGTAATTACTTTTTCAAATAAGTCGTAACTTGATTGTGTTGGAGACAATTGAATTCTTTTTGTTCCATCTGGAGATTCAATACGTAAAACCTGAAAATATTATATCAGTTATATTTATATAGCTTTAAAAAATAACTAAAACTTAACACAAAACCCTATTGTTTTAGAAAAAAGTTTAGCAAAATATGATAAATATTTATTTAGTTCCACTGCAGTTGTATGTATTTAGAGAGTTGTCTAGTTAAAAAAATAAGGTTCAAACTAATAATTTTTTAATTAGAATTTTAAACATTCATTGGTACAATCTATACTAAGAAGTTATATATTTGTTGTTTCGCTTTGATTTAAAAAGAAAAAAAAAATCTTATATATCATTTAAATAATTTACAGTAAATATTTCAAATGTATTCTAAACGTTAAAGTGAAATTTAAAATAATTAAATAATTTTAAAAAAAACATTCAATGACACAGCAATTTTAATGGACAAAATAAATTTGTGAAAATATCAAACAGAAATACTAGACCAATCAATAACTCAGGGGTTTATACTCACGATTTGTCCAGCCATATTAATGCAGCATTAATTTCTTGAAGGTTTTCCGTGTCTTGAGATACTCGAGTTAATGAAATTTAAATATACAAAAATCTTAAAACAAGAGAAAATTCAAAGAAAATTTCTATATCAAATATTGCGATATATGATTCTACCAACTAACGATTACGTGTACAGTGTAGGGCACACGAAGAAAATTGTAATTTACAAATCACTCTAGTTAAAACCTAGCAGCTATTTAAATAAATAAAAAACATTTCAATTTTAACTTGTAGTTATTAAATTTATATTACTGATATCATGAAATATTTTTTTAATGATGGTCACCAATAATTCAATAACGAGTCAGTTTTCTTATTGCTGTTGGCTACTCTGTAAAAATGTTGACATTTTCCTCATCAGTTTTTACCTTATCTACATTGATGGTGTTGGAAAAAATCAAAAATTAAAAATTGTACTATACCTTTCTAACAATTTCCGTTTTGTCGGTCTCGTCGCCCGTCTATATAGTATTCGATGTTCGTATAGAGTTGCAATAGTTAAGCTTAGAAAACCTGTATTATATAAGCTTTATAAAATCCAACTCGTCAATTGCTGTCAATTCGAAAGTTCATAAATTGTTTGGGGTTTCTAGTCCGTCTTCCAGGTCTTGTAAGTACACACGATATGCATCCTTTCCTGTTCATCAATATTGATGTAATTTTAATTTATTATTTATTTATAGGTTTATTGATAAAATTAAACTCTATAGGAAGAAAACAATTTTTATTTTTAACTGATTAAGAGTTAATTTAACTAATATAAACTTGGTATATTACCGCACGAAACAATCATTTTTTTCTTTAAGTATTTGAATCCTGGACTTAGAAATACTTAATATTTAATCTTGTATATGTAGGCTTTATTCACACAATTAAGAAATTGTTGAACATTAGATAAATTTAAATATAGTTCAAAGTACATGGCGAAATAAAACATTATAATTTGTACCTATGTATTATTAATAAAATACCAGTAATAATTTTGTTTTTATAAATACAACATTTGCAATTTATCTATACTTACACTTTAATGTTCTCTATATCTTTTTATATATAAAAAATAGGGTAGTATTTTATTCAAATATTAATGTGAAATGACATTTTTGCTATTGATTTGTTTTTTATTACATTTATTTTTAGTTATGACTCATTCGTACTTCTGCTTTCTCTTCCATTCAGTCTTATAACTTTTATCAGGAACATTCCTATTATGTTGTGACGAAGAGGTATAACAGTTTTTAAACTGAACTACTAATTGTATTTTTGAGTTGCTTGTCAAACTATTTTATCTATTAAGTATAGTATAAAACTATTTTATTTAAAAAAATCAAAACAATATATTTAATGAAGTTGTACTATTAAAAGTATTGTTATTCTTTACTAATATTTACATAATACAATAAATTACTAACTATTTATTTATCTTTAAACGTACATTATAGCCTTGAATAAACAATAACAAACAAACCTTATGACCCATTAAATAATTATAAATGTTGATACAATATAATGTGCTATAATAACTTTTATTACTTCATAGTTAAATATTATGAATTCTGCTAGGAATACTAAAATATCCCTGATGTATATCAGGTTAATAGATTCAGTTGAATGTATAAACTTAATGGAACACTACAACTAATAGAATTTTTTATATATAATTATTATGTTACTATTTAAATTTAAAAACTAGTTTAGAAATTAAAAACAAACCATTATATGGTATTTTCTGTATTTTAATTGGAGTTCAGTATTTTGTTTATAATTAAATTATCTTAGCACAATATTTAATAGTATGATTATTATTTTGCAGATTGACCATTTTTTTAGGTAACTATGATAGAATAATTTATTGGACTTCTTGTGGATCGATAGCATAAAAGAAAAATGAAGAGACAATTTTATAAGGTCAAGCAATTTGCTGACCAAACTTTTTCTAGGTATATACTCCTTATTATATACTTTATGACATTTAAAATTAAGTTTTTATGTTTTAATATAAGTCTATAATATGTTAAATAATATTTAAGGTCTGGTAAAACTGAAGCACTTTCTGATACTTTACAAGCAGCTGAAAAACGAGTTGATTTCATAAAAAATGTTTGTCAAAATACTACAAAGAAGTTATCTTCTACCTTAGTTATGCCCGGGGGTGGATGTGATCCTTCAAATCGAGAGAAACGTCTTGTAAGTAAATATTTTAATAACATTTTACGTTTTATAGGAAATAAAACATTTTTGTTTTAATTACAGAAAAAAATGCCTGATTATCTTTTGGCAATGGCTATGTTAGAGGGTGGTCCTAATGAAGATGATAATTTATTGAGGTAATGAACTTTGTACAAAAAAGGCTGGTTAAAATAGTAATTCAAAATATGTATTGAGTATTGTTTATGTGTGTGGTGATATTTTTCAGACAAGTCTTGGTGGAATGCAGCAAAGTTCAAATTTGTTTGGCTAATGCAGGTGTAGATTATGAGTTACGAATTGAACAATCTGTACTTAATAAGCTACAGCAAATTCTTGATGTTGATGTTCCTAACGTAATAAAACAAAAACGGTTGCTTACAAAACTCGTTCTAGACATGGAGTCGGCTCGAGCAAAGTAACTTTTTTTTATTTTATATTTTATTAAACTAAAATTACATTAATTTTTCTCTAACCTTTTGTTGCCCTTAAAACAAAAATATATTGATGTACAAAAACATATTAATTTAAATAATTGACAGTGCGAAAATTTAAAAATATTACCCATACTTAATTCATAAAAAAAAATTCCTTCGCCGATTGAAACGCTTATAACTTTTTGCTAACATAGTCTGTTTATACATTCTAATTATAATGTCATGGGCAGGCAGGTTTAAAAATGGTGTGTTTTTTACAATAATTATACTGGGAACTATCAATTAATAAATTCAAAAAAGGGTTTTTTTTAATACATTAGCTGTGCAACATTTTTTTAGTTAAGCGGAGGTGCTCTAAAAAAATGTTTACAAAACATAATTAGGAACTCGTTATTTTATAGATTTAGGTTTAAGGGTTCTTAAGAGTTTTAAGTACCATATTTTAAATTATTTTAGCAGAAATATTTATTTATTTTATTTAACTATATGTTCCTCAAGGTCTTTTACAGGTACTTTCTACATTCAAATGTTTAATAGTTAATTGTAATTATTTAAGTATAATTAAAAATTTTTTATTTTATAGATATAAAGCTGCCACATCAAAGAACTCTAATTCTGGTAGTTCCCATACTAACAAAATAGACGCAGTTAAAGAAGAAATGGAAGATATAGAATTGCAAGTTGAGCAATGTCGTGTATGCTATTTTATAATTTGTTTGTGGTTAATATTGACACTATTTATCAAAAAAAAAAATTTTATTTAGGACTCTCTGGCATCTGAAATATTCCAATTAATATCACGAGAATCGGAATTATCTTCTATTCTTGTAGAACTTATAAAACATCAACGCTCTTACCACCAGACTGCATTAGCTGTACTAGATGAAATAGTTCCTGAGTTAGAGACTGTAATTGGTAGGTGCAATTTATATAAACTCAAACAATTTTTAACAAAAAGTTCACTCATAAATGTATGTAACTATATTTCATTACAATGATATTTATAGATAGAAACCCTGCGAAACCAGTGTTTGGTCAAAACCTTGAAGACCACCTAAGAGTTACTGAACGGCGAATTGCATATCCAATTGAATTATGTATTTGTGCTCTGTTAGAGTTAGGTGTAGAAGAAGAAGGATTGTTCCGGATTGCAGCTGGTGCTTCTAAAGTTCGATGCATGAAGTTGAGATTAGATTCCAATTGCCTGGACCTAGAAACTGCCGTTGAGTATAGAGATCCTCATATAATAGCTAGTGTTTTAAAGTCATATTTAAGACAGTTACCAGAGCCATTGTTGACTCATCACCTGTATGAGGAATGGATGGCTGCATCCAAGTAAATATAGTGTATATATTTATAAATATATATTTATATATTTTTTTTTAACATTATTTCTTCTTTTTTCAGATTGCAAACTAATGATAGTAGATTTCAGGCGATCTTAAATGTTGTGCAAAAGTTACCTCAATCGAATTTAAATAATCTACGATATATCATTAAGTTTTTGGCCTTGTTAACTAAACACCAAGATGTAAATAAAATGAGCCCTCAAAATTTGGCTATAGTAATTGCTCCCAATTTACTTTGGACGCCAGAAGATAAAAACGATAATATAGGGTAATATAAATTATTTTCTTTTGCGTAGTTAAATTAACTAATTATCTGATTTTATAATAATTCTTACATATTTGAGGGGGAAAGGGAAAAGGGACCTCTTGTTACGGAAATCCTAATCGCAGGAAAGCCAAAACATCGATCAGTGCTAAAAAACATATTTAAGGGGAACGGAAAGCGTACATTTTTTTACAAATAAAGACTAAAACGCGGTATCACTTTCTGAAGTGTCTACTGAACCGATTTCAATACATTTTGTTTGTTTTATAGTTTAACATCTTCTTTATGGGGCCTAAAAAAACTTGAAATCCGTCCAATAGATACGCCAGAAAATGACTTCTATGAAAGTAATTTTTTATCAAACTTCCGTCATAGCTTGGAGAAAAACAACTTTATAAGAATTATAATTAGAAAATTGTAATATGTGTTCACCTTGAAATTAGTAGGCATATGAAAATGGCTATTAGATCAAGTTTTGTCAAATATTGCCTATCCTTTGACCCTTAAAACAAGCGATTTCCGTTCCCCTCAAGAAAAAAAAAATGATACTGCTCAAGAGCACTTTATTTTAATGGTTGGTTAAGTTTAATTCCTTAAGTAAGTTCATTTCAAAACTTTAATGCTTTTTTATTCACAAAAACTCTATTTTCGAAAATAAATTCAAACAAATATGATTCGACAAATTTCAATGTTAGGAAAATGAGTCTGATCTCAAAATGTTAAGACTGGAATACCAATAACCCAAAAGTTAATATTTGCAACAAGACGTTATTTTTTACTTAACATATGTTTTAAGCTAATTGGTGTTTGACAAAAATTAATAAAATAATAATTTTTTTTTCATTTGCGAATGAAATCATTTGTGACTTAATAAAATATATTATTTAAAAATATTATCTTAATTATTTTCAAATTTACTTAAATTACATTTTGGTAAATACCTAATAAAAAAAAAAAATTTATCTTGGACAATTTGTTAGAGCACTCTTGCTTTAGATTTCTACACAGCTTATGCTTACAAAAACTTAGTATAATTAAAAAGAATGATAGACATTTTATAAAAAGTTGTTTAACATAATTAAAATCATTAAAGTTTAAATAAAAGATTTATATTTTTTAGTTTAAATATGAATGCAGCTGCTTGTCATAACATAATTGTTGATTGTTTGATATCTCATTCTGACTGGATATTTCCTGGTGGTAAGAATTATTCACAATAAATACCTTAATACATTTATAATTAATTACAAATTAATTATTTATTTTAGAGGAAGAATTTTATGTGACACTAGATTCACTGAATATAAATGATTTTAATGGTCATAAAAGATCTAGTAGTGGGGATACACATTTAATATCAACGAATGAATCTCCCCCTGATTCAAACTTGAAACGAAGTAGATCTAGTACAAATATTACAGAAATCAGGTATGCATTTGTAGAAATATTTATGTCATGTGTATTTTTTTTTTTAATTTGTAGTCAAATGATTATAAGAAAGAGCATGATGTATTCTAACTGAAATTAGTTCTTCTTATAAAAAAACTGTTAAGAATACTGCACAGCTGATAATTCAATACATAATTTGTTTTTATGTACCTTGTATTAGTATTACTTTTATAGTAATGTGCCTTATCTTTTGATCCCAAAGTTTATACTCAAAAAAGTAATTTTATATTTTGCTTTAATATTTAAGCCTTGAGAGAACTAGTCTTTATGCTGATGCTGCTTTTAAGATGAGTATGGTGGGATAAGTGCTTAATTTAAGTTATGTTTCCCTGAGTTTTACAAAAATTAAAATTTAAGAATTGATAATTTTGTAATTAATTTGTCGTAGAGGTTTGTCTTACATGGCAGGGTAAAGTATGACAAAAACAACTAGTAACTGCTCACCATTGTCTAACTATAAATAAGATATGTACATCTTAAGCAATCTATGTAGGGTCCTCCCCCTAACTAGGACTGTCTTTTTATGGTTGTAGTATAGCTATAGGTGGTATATGAGGTTTTATAAGAGCTAAAAAATGTGAACTGAGGTACTTCTATAATAGACTGGATATAGTAACTGAAAAAAATATTTGAATTTTTATATCTATACCCAAATATAGTTTTTTATTTTATGATAAATTAATTATGATTCTAGTCCTCCTTCAGAAAGTCCAAAACCACATATTAGAGGAAGAAAAAATAAGCCTGCTCCTGTTCCTCCTTCTCCAACAATCAAGACCAATAATGAGTTGGAAATTCTTGAGGTGGTTATCAAGGACGAAGATAAACCAAACTGTGATAAACCACCTCCTGGTGCCTCATCGTTAAAATCTAGTCAATCAACAGAGTCTCCAAGAGAAAAATTATTGGTTGGTGACACCGGCTCATTAAAACGAACTACAAAGCCAGCAGTTGCCCCACGTACAATTCTTGAAACAGCTGATGATATAGTTTTTCGTAAGCCAGCTGTACCGGAGCGGCCAGCATCCTTACAGAGACCTCTAAGCTCGTCGTTCAGAAGTTTACGTATCACAGATCTTCCTAATGAAAAATCTGATGTAATAGTAATTTATTAATATAATTTATAATTTATTTGGATTTTAGTATTTGGTAATTTGTAGGTGGACAGAGGAGGACCAATGCTAGAAAGAGCACATTTATATACTGTATCGAAACAACAAGTGTCTTTAATACAATTTGGTGAAAACAATGAAACTTCCCATTGCAAGGAAATAAACCAGAATACACTTAATAATGGTATATTTTATTCTATAAACTCTTAGTTTTTAAAATAGTTACAACTATTAACTAATCTTATTAAACTGTAAAAATGTATATTTAGAAACTTCAAATGTAAAACAAGACAGCTCAGGTGACATTGGTGTTTATAAAAGTCCTAATTTGTCTAGTCATCGTCGTACATCATCGGATGCTCAATCAGGTAAAACAAATTTTAAATGTTAGTTGTACAAATATACACTAGCGTAGTCCTAAATGAGACGTTAGAATGGCCATCATTCGGCTCCTGTTTAAAAATGATTTCCCTAATTTTTCTTAGAATTTTATTTCATTCCCTAGAGTCTCCCTGTTTGCATATTAAGTTATTATTCATAATGGGGAATATATATGAATTAACATAATTTTTTAATTTACTACTAGGATAATTCTTATTAAGGTGATACACATTTATAGAAATCACACACACATTTCATATTGAACATAAACATTTGACAAGCGTATCTTTGGTTTTGCCTAAGATTATACTGGTAGTCAGCTTAATTTGGAACTTGTGTAAGTAAAATAGTATATTTTTCTGTATAATTATAAATTGTACATGCAAAAAGGAACCATTAAGGGATGAAATAAAAATCTGGAAAAATGTTGAAGCTATTTAGAGCCGATTGATAGATATCCAACGTAGAATCGTTTTCATACAAAATCAATACAAGGACCACTCTAATAAACACGATTAAAATTAAATAATTTAGGACAAGTTCCAATGTTGAAGACTCCAACGAGGACCCAACGTCCTATTCCTCCACCGCCTCCACCACCAGTTAATTCAGGAAAAAAAGAACCAGAAAGTACAGATCTGTAGTATATGATTCATTTAAGTTTTTGTTTCGTTATTAGTTTACATTTTGACCAAAGAGACAAAAGGGTCTTATGCTCATTTTTAATGATGGGTGTTAAAAAGAAAATATCATTTAGTTTTTTCTTTTTATGACTTTGTCTACCATTATTATTATTTTTCTTGTTAACTTAAAACATGTTTCTTTTATTTATTTACAAATACATATATATTTAAGTATATATTTATAACATGGTAATGATGTAAATTATTGTGATCACATCAATTTTAATTTATTCGATTCATTGTATACTATTTATTAAATTGTATACAAAATTTGTATACCATACTTTGTTAACTGCATTTTTGTATACTATATTTTGTTATATTTATTTAGTTATTTCCTAATATTTGTTACATTATACTAAAAAGATGTGTATAAGAATTAACGGTGCAACTCAGGGTTAAAAAAATATATATAACATACAATTTTAGTGATAAAAATTAATTTTTTGTATTGAGTGATATTTTAATTAGAATTGTGTTGATTTTTGTATACTAAATTTGCTTCTTATATAAATATTAATTTAAAAAAATGTTAAATCACTGTCTCATCAAATACATTTTATATAAAGAAAAAATACTAATAACGCCTATACCTTTATTTTTAATTATGATGTATGTTGTGTTTTACCATCTAAAATTAGGGTCAATATTTTGTTGCACAGCTATAGAAACATATATAGACAGCCCACACTGCCTAACTTTTTATTGACAATCCAATTCTGGCCTCGAACTATTATTATTATGTGTCTATTAGTAATGGACATTTGAAAAAACGGATTTTCACAATGAATGCTATTTGAGCCATTTAAAAATATTATATTAACAATTTATAAATGTGTTCCAAGAAAAATGTTTTTTTGATGACGATGTGAAAAAAAAAAATACTAAGAAGATTACTTTTAATATAATTTATTATCAAGGTTAAGCGTATATTTTTTAAATTTTACTTTGTGCACAGCTTTGTATTGTAATAATATTCAGTATCTATAGATCAAGATATTTAAGTAGCCTAAAAAGCTGTTTTTGTGAAATTACCTATTTTCGGATTCCTATCACTAGTGTTCATTTTATTTTCATAATATAACAATTATATGATTCATAGGTGCTTTTATTATTTTATTGATTGCGATATTAAATAGCAATAATTGTACCAATATTTTATTAATTACTTCAATATCAGAGAGGAGTAGAGGGAGATAAGGTTTTATTAAATGAGTAAGAATTTTTATAGAAAAATTAACTTATAAGGAATGAAGTTGATGATTATTAAGGAAAAAGTTGGAGTGACATTGTATACTATCAAGTTACTTGTTAATATTAAACCGCTTTTGTAAAAAAAAATCTTTTAACTGTTTAAAAATATGTTTTATATTTTAGAATTATTATTTTACATTACCCAAGATAAACTAATATATACTTTAATGATAACATTTCAAATAGCTTAAACTAATGGCCTTATTTTAATGGTGGTGGTAAATTTCTTTCTAAAACTGGTATTGACTCGTAGGAGTTGTTTCTGGGTGTTTCATTTTTTCTATTGAGTTTGGCTTCTAAAACACTAGGTATTGAAGGCGTTTCCATTTTATGAACTTTTCGTTCTATATTGTATCCAACGATTCCAGCCACAAAAGCAATTGGAAATGTTATCATAGGTACATATCTCGACACTAATCTGTACAATACCGTACTCCTGAAATTTAAGCCAAGATTATACTATAGTTAAATAATAATAATTCAAACGAATTATAAAAACAAACTTACATTTTTCTACTTTAAGCTTGAAGGTTGTGGCAATCGATAATTTAGCATCTCAATCTCAGCATCAAAATAGGATGTCTTGTGGTAGCTAAAATATTGAGGATTTTTGTAGGTATTATCTAATGTCTTCTTAACACGCTCTAAAACATTTTATAAATAATGATATAGAATATTTAATAAAAAATATATAAAATAATGTGTTTACCTGGTGGTGGGTTAGCAATAATTACCTTATTGCTTAAACCTTTAACATTAGCAGTAATATCTTTTGGTTTCTCAGGAGCTGACACGTATCTACGAAACTAAAAAGGAATCTTCTTATAGCTACTACAAGAACATATAACAAATTTAAAAATATAATCAATCGTAATAATATGATAGCATAAATATATCATATTTATACAGAGAATTATATGTAAAATTAAAATATAACTTCAAAAACATGATACCTGATTGGTGACCGAAGGTGATTTCGTTAGAACTCTAATTTTACTCATTATTAGAAAGTAACAAATTACTTTAATTATCTACAGCTTTAACGACTGTAATTTAATGTATAGCTTTTAGCTTTTAGGGGAATAAAAGTAAAATATTGAAGCACAAGTCACGTTTGGCAATTGGTATTCCGTAATCCGTATAGAACGTAGATTATCTCTTATCACTATTTATTACTGTTGTATGTTAGCAGGCTGCCCTTGGGAGTCCTCGTAATGACCCATTACAAAACAGCTGTACACAGCTAGAAGTCTCAGCCATCGAGATAAAGAATACATAAGAAAGTATTCTTTATCTCGGTGGTCTCAGCAGTCAGCACATTATACTTTTTTGTCATTTAAAAATAAAATGATTGAAATCATTTTCGCTGAATGATGATCTCCGATAAATTAAATCTCTAGCAAAAAACTCCACAGAAATAACGATCTCCTGAAAATTACGAACCTCTTAAAATAATATCTCTAGTCTACATTATTACTAAAATAATATATTACAGTATTTTAATTTATTAATTATTTAAGGAGATACGCCTAAAATATACTGTATTAAATTGAAAATATCGTGATAGTAGCAAGTTCCGAAATGTATAAATCATAATATTGTCAGTATTAAAATGAATTTATTGTTATAAGAGTTACACTACACTTTCGGTTAAAATAAATATAATTATTGAATTGAAATATGTATGTATCTGTGTGTCATTATTAAGTTTTTATGAGTTTACTAACATTTAAAAAAGTACTTTCAATTTTACTTAAAATATAAAAATGCCACCGAAAAACACCAACATACTTCAAATTTGGATCTAGGTTTTTGCTTGATTTTTTAGATAGATAATATTGTTAAAGTCAAGTATAAAGTGATCAAGTGCATATTAGGTATATTTTATTATTATGTCATAGAGTATAGACAGAGATAGTGCAATATATAAATAAAGGAGCCAATGCAGCTACAATGCCACACTTCATACCTCTATGTACACATAGTGATTAACGGTATCTGTAATATTACAAGGCGTAAACCGCTAATGTTTATTATATTTTTAATTCTATACAGAGCCATGTTTTCCATTAAGCGAGATACTAGATGGTAGTATACGTGCCTATGACCACCAAGTTAAAGAGGCCTCGCTCCAATAACACATTCTTTATATCAAATAAGAGGTATAAGCTATTACATTTTTTTTTTGTGAAATTTTAAAATTAAACAAATTAGGGCAGAAATTTGAAATGTGGTAAATACTTTTGCGGGTCAGCAATGTTGTTAACATTATTTTTGTGGCAGCTACCCTTTTTAAAAAAAATCCGGTATAATCAAATTGTTTTTAGTAGTAATAATAAAATATAGTAAATGGAGAAAACTATTTTGGGAAGGTGTTTATTTAATTTATGGGAAGAGGCCACACAAAAATATTTTGCCTTATGGTTCAAAAAGTCCAAATTAGGCTCTGAATCTATAACCACTTATTAGTTATTACTTTATATACTTTATACCTAATTAGGAATTATTAATTTTTACCACTTTAAGTTAACAATTAATAGACAAATTTTAATTATAGTTTATAAATATCAAAACAAAATGAATAGAGTCTGCAGTAAAGATTTACAATAATTTATTATGTTACGTAGTAAAGTATTATCAAGTCTTTTCGGTATCCACAATACAATATAATTTAGCTTTGTTGCAAAGCTAAGTAGTTATTGGTTTAACAATGATTAATTTTTTTCTATTCTAATTCTTTTATATTATAAGGTTTATTATTCTATAGATTTTCCTTCAATTGTTATACAGTGTCAAGGATTATGCGCAATAAATCGCCAAAACGAGTTTTCTGTTCTTAATATACTGCTGCATCCACGTAGGAATAATGAATTATTCATATGTTATTAAATGGACAATTTTTATACATAAAGACGTACATACTTGAATTTGAATTTTTTCACTGATGTACAGACTCTTACTAGTAATTTATGCGTTTTGTAACACACTATGACGCACACTGTATTATGTATGCGTGATACTATGTTAAAAATGGGTAAATGATTAGTTAAACAGCGTGGGATGTAGGTATTTGTGTCTAACTAATCTGCATATTATATGTCATAAGGCGCATTCAACGTAAATGCAAAAATGAGCTTGACATTAAAAAACGTACATAATATATATTATTATAAAAACAATTTTCTGAAACGTTGGAAAAACAATCAAGCTACTCAAGTGGGAGTATCTGCAAGTTGTGTAAATAGCGTGAAACTAAGTTATTTTATAAGTTAAATAAATATTACACGTGAAATGTATGTAAAATGCAGTTATCTAGGTTAAAATCAGTGTAGAATTGAGAGGGACTGAGTACCCCAAGTCCCAACTATTTTTTCAGAAATCGTAGCTTACCTCTAGTAATTTTTATAAACGCTCTTTTTTAAGTAAAAACGTCCCCCTACTTTTATTTTTCTAATTCGACCACTGGTTAAAGTTATACAGATTTTTAAAATTCAGGTATATTTAAATATGTATTACATCCTTTGGAATACTATGATAGAAAAATATGTAGTAATCACTTGACAATTTTTTTATGAACTACTCTAGACCAATATTCTTATAAATCGAGTGATACAACAGAATTTCACAACCTACAGCCTACTTGTTATTTAGATTCAAATACCTGAGAGGTTTTACCTCTGCTCTATCGAAGTCTAAAAAAGTAGTTTTTATTTGTATGTTTCTTGCAGTTATTCTTTATAGGTATGTTTCCATCGAATTACAATAAAATAAACCCAGTTATAACCCTGCCCTAAAGGCTAAAGCAGAGGTGTAGTGTGTACATTTGTAAATTAACCATGGGGTTATAAATATCTAACAATGCTTAGCAAACCTATGTGGTTACATCTTTTGACATAAATGCTAGTGACTATTCAACCAATTACCGGCGGTGACCGTGTAATTACATTGATTTTTCACGGCTTAATTTAATTTATCCGAATGCAACCAGTCGTATATCCTGGCCAACCACAAAAATCGATTTA